GCTTCTCTGCAGCCTTAGGCTGTTTTGCAGACACGGTCCCCTGTTCTTTATTGAGTATGTGACTCTTCTCTGAAGCCAGCATTAAAGGGATTTTACCAGGGGTATCTGACTTTAATCCCAGCTCTGGTGGTGAACTGATTTCTCCATGCTATTCTTTGGAAGAGCTCTTACGGTGTATTTAAAAACAGCACCTGGGATGGTTTAAGAATGAGTCCTGTCCCTACTGGCCTTGAGTCTGGGACCACACGTGACAGGGAGGCCAGTTTATTTCTCTGAGATTCTCTCCGTGCCAGGATCAGGAGGGTCAATTAATGCTCCAGCCTCACTCCCTGACTTGTTCCAGAGGCTGGTAAATACTATAAATGGATTCACAGTTGGGTTTTGCCTCAGTAACTTCAGACATTGAAGCATAGGTTCTAATGAGAGGCTGGGTTTTTCCTACAGTGGTCATAATGCCATTAGCTTCTTGCAAAGATATTAGAGTTAGAAAATATAAACACACAAGTAACTGTGAGGTCTCCAAATGCCAGCGTAGTGTATTCTTCCAAAAGGCTTGCCAAGGTCACCTCCAATTCTTTCTGCTTTGCCTTGTTACTCTGGGCCGCTCTACAATAATTTTGAAATCATATGTGGTGCTTGCTGTCACTTTATTGCTTATTTGGATACCACAGTTTGGCTGTAAGGGAAAGTTGTGTGGACGTATCTGTGATGTATCTAACCCTTTAGTTGGCATTGACTATGGTTTATTTCAGAGATAAGCTAAGAGCCCTCTGACCCAAAACAGGTAAATTCTAATCTCCGTGGGCTTGTCTGTTTTCATATGATATCTGAGTCGTATTTCATGTGACATCTTCTCACCTGAGAACATTCTTACTAGTCGATTCAGCGGCAGCTTTGGGACGTCACTCATGAAATGTTTAGGCCACATTTTGAAAATAATCTGTATTTTACTAGACTAGTCTTCTTTACCATTTACCTTTTAATGCCTTATTCTAAGGGTTGGCTCTGTGGATTAGGACCACTAGAATTAACTCTGCTTTCGTCACTTTATTCTTGTCTGCAAATGGTGTTTTTCTCTCCCCCCCAACCCCCCGCTTCAGAGGCATAAAACAGACCCGGTCGGTGGTCAGCCCTGGCAGTACACGAAGGCCTCACTTTTCGAAGGAACGCACGAAAACAGCCACAGCTGTGTCGAAACAAGGCTTTTCTTTCTTTTTCCAGAACTTCCAGATACTGATTGTAGCATTTTGATTCTAGGCAAGGCCTTTCTCTCCAGTACGATACTAACAAGCTGCCAAGCCACGGCCTAGTTAGCAACGCGCCCATCGGGGTGAAATGACATAACAGGGGACTGAGGAACTGGGCGTGAGGGTCAGCGCGGTCTTTCTGTGCAGATTTGTTCCCCAAATGGCCATTTAGGGTGTTCGATAGAATAAGCATATTTATGACAACCACTTTCTAACAAAACCCACAAAAACACCTTTTACTTATTTGTTATAATTTGAGGAAGTTAAAAAAAGAGACAGATTGGATCAAAGAAAATGTCACAAAATAATCACTATCTATCGGAAGGAAGCCCAAGTTGTCACTTAATGGGGACATAAACAATTATTTTTTTTCTGGTGTTTGTGATAGCTGTGGGGACATTTTTTCGGAATTTCCCCTTTCTCTAGCAAACGTGTACTTTTAAACTTTAAGTTTTTATTGTTTCAGTTGTCGATTACTGATGTATCACTTCTGATTTCTCATGTCAAGGGTAATCTATGGAATTTTAAGAGTTTTCTTCGTAGTTGTTGGGAGATCTTATAAGAATTGATAAAGTTGGTTCTCTTTGTAAAACGCGTAAGCATTTTGTCCATGCTAGATGACCTTCTTGAATTTAACTTCTTGTATTTCCTGGTGATCAATCCCTCTGTGTTAAAAGGAGGAGAAAGGTGTAGTTGTCCGTGTTTCTCAGGCCTAGAAAGAGCTCATGGTAAGTAGACATGCTTCTTGATTTAAGCGGTCTGAGGAGGATATTAGGCTAGTTTCTGTATGTAGTGCATAATAAATAATCAATTTCAATAATAAATTTGAATTAAGTTCCTATATCAGCATGTTGTGATGAGTAAAACATTTTAGACCAAGAAAAAAAATCTATGATTTTCTGAGTACTATCATTCTTTGAAAGTATGGATTGAACCTGGGCCTACACTAAGTAACATAGTTAAGACATATTTGTGAAAACAGTGATACACAACCAGAATGTCATCGAGTAGAATATAGGCCCCATGATGGTGCAGAATTGTTTCTGTCCTTGTCTGTTTTTCCAGAGACTAACAGGCATACGGTCAGTATTTGTTGAATGTAAACAAAAGATCGTTCAATGACCAGACTAAGGGATTATAATTTTAAGCTAACGCTTGCTGATATGTAGTTTCCCTTAACACCTTTTAGTTAAATAAAATAAAAACCTTAAGAACTGAAATCAGTATCAAAAGACTGATGTATGTACCACAAATACATTTTTTTTTCTTCTGTACAAAACAATTGGCATGTGATCGGCAGCTTACTATTGCTTCTTGGCTTTGCTGACGACAACCCATTTCTCTCCACATTGCTTTTATGTATTTTTGTATTCAACCGGACATACTTATTTTCAGAAAATTTGAATTTTACTTTGTAGTGTAAATTAGAAAAAAAAATTAAAAAAATTATTTTTGTAGGAAAAAAAAAAAGTTTTCTCTCATACAAGATGAGGGGATCATTTGTCATTCCTCCAGGCATAAACTTTAGGATTTTGTTGTGGGTAAAGCTGCCGTGGTACCCAATTCGGTATCACCGAATCCGAAGTCCTATGCCTTGAGAAAGGACTGGAGCCAGTTCGCAGTTGATTTTATGTGAGATTTAGAGGAAGCTTAAAATGCGATGCCTGATGTTGCAGCAAATGTCTTTCCTCTCTCATTGGGGGTTTAGATTAAAATTTAATCAAGTAAATATTGTCATGTTTTGCTCTGAGCATCTGTATTTATTTGGTTGTAACAAAAACACTTCCTTTCGATGCTCTGAATGAGGCATCTCTTCAGTGCGCTTATTTGCTACAAGTTTCCTAAGAAAATGTAGCCTGAACTGGATTCTCGGTCTTACGATATGTTCGCTATAGTTTCTTATGCAGACGGTTGAAAAGAAACATGCAAGATGCCAGAGAAAGTTCTTGCTGACCTGTATCCAACGCCTGCCTCCTGCAGCCCATCTCAGCGCCTGCGTTTTGACAGACAGCCCGGCTCCAAGGCTCTGTCCGCGGTGCCGAGACACCTCGTGATGCACGAGCGTGTCTGGCTGATAAATCCTAGCGCCAGCCACGCTGTGACAGTGATACAGCAGGTGGTAAAATTTGCGTTTGGGAAACACATTGAATGAGCGAGCCTCATATTTTGGTTGTGTTCAATTAACACAGTTTGTCCTTTCATTTTAAGGAGTTTGTAACAATTACCTTCCAAGTTGTGAAAAGCAGCTAGGATTTAATTAGCAACCGTCGATGCCAATGTCTAGTATTAACAAATAAATGGATGTGACTGCAGTAGTGGAAATGTTTACAGGACAGTGACATGTCGATGCTCAGCAGCGAGCTCCTGTAGGAAAAGTTAAACACTTGATTAGCAATTAGCATAGAAAGCTTGTAGCTTTGTAGAGATGAGCAATTTGCCTATAAAAATACAGCTTATTATCTCGGACTTTTTATTGCTTCAGGATATTTCCTTTGTACACAAGTACATTTATTTTGCACGACAATGCCTTTTTGTCTGTAAATATGACTAAAACCGTAAAAGATCTTGGCTGTTTCCAGCCCCCCCCCCCAGTAAAATCCATACATTTACTATGTAAGACTCTTAAAGAATTAGTAAGGTCCTTGGCACTTCAATTCAATGATTGTCAACTTGTTAAGTTGTATTTTTCAGGTGCCTTAAATATAGTCATAAAGAACTGCACCTAATTTTTTTTTTTTTTTTTT